TAGTCTGGATCAGGACTTCCAGTTGCGATCGCACCATTCCTAGGGGCCGCTTAACGGTGTCGCATGTGAAGGGCCATGTGGGCCACCCTTGGAATGCCCTGGTGGACTGGGTTGCGAGGTGTACCCATAAGGGCGAGGCCACACCCACCACCTTCTCCAGTGCTCTCGTCGATGCGTCCACTTATACCGTCGCCAGAGAATGGGAATGGCTCGACTCAGCACATCCAGAAGTTAGAGCTGCATATCCACCACTGTTTTCTGGCGAAGATATCCTCATACCCCCTTGTCGCGTTTACAAGGGTAGATTTAGGTGGGCAGCTCCCCATCCCCACCCCTGGGCATTCTGGCCAGTTTAATGTTGATTTCTGCATGGTTCAGTATAACATGCGTTCTGCTTCTGTTTAAAAAAGTATGGGGCCAAAGGGGTCGTCAACGGCGTGCCCGCAACAGAGCTCTTCGCATCCAGCTCCAAATTGAAAAAGCTTTCATCACGGCTGTTCAGGAGACACGGAACCCCAAGGGTACCAGAGTTGCTGATGGTTTTGTTTGATGCTATCATCGGGGAAGCGGGGCCGGGGGTTGAAGGTTGGGTTAATTTGACCTTACCGCATGCTCAGAACGGTAAGACCAACCTCTTTGTACGTAAGGGTCAGGTCAGGACACTGTGGACTACGCCTCGCATCGCGGTGGCGCGCACCACCGCCACCGCGATTGACATCACTCTTGTCGCCGCCCATGCTCCACACTCCAGGACAGACGAGGATAGAAAAACTACGTTTGGGAGAGTCATGGCACATATGTGCCAGCGGTTTACCCCTCAAGTGGTTCTGATTGACGCCAATGGACGTTTGGGCACCGTCTGTTCGAATGCTGTTGGGAGTGAGGGATTCTCTCAGGAACGAGATACACAGGGATCAGCATTGCATGGCATGGCACTTGACTATTCCTATGTTGTTCACAGCGCCGTCATTCCTTCGGATGAAAGTGGACATGCTTACCAGTGCCCGCAAGGAACACTTCATCGTATTGACTACATTATTGCTAACGGTGCGTGGCGACAGCGGTGCACGGAATGTAAGGCGCTGCTAGGGTTTGACAGTCACATGCTCATTAAGGACCACTTCGCGCCCACGGCCGTTTCACTTGGGCCCAGGGGGTGCCCAAGGGGCCAAGCATGCCACTGTGCCCTTTAGACCCAGGTTTGTTGTCTGACCCCTCTAGGTGCGCAGACTTTGCTCACCGCATTGCTAGTGTGCAGCCTGTTCCGTGGGAAAAGGACATTACTGAGCACTACTGGTTTATCTCTGACAGGATACGCGAGGCTGCGGGTGAATGTACCGCTTGCCCTGAGAGGGCCCCCCCGCAAGGTGTATGTGTCAGCTAGAGCTCTTGACCTCATCCAGTGGATACGCTCCATCACACGTGCGCTGGGGAAGTCGCATGCCTCGGCAGCACCTGTCTGCTTCTCGCCCCCCCTGGTGCACATGTGCAAAAAGGTGGGGAAGGGGGATCTGCGCGTTGCCTTTGAACAGAGATTTAAATGCCCTGAGTGTGCACTTGCGCAGCCTCTTTTGTACGCAGCAGGGCTTGCCTTAAGATGTGGCCCCCAATCGGAACATATGCTCTTGCAACTACCTGTCATCATGGCCATTTTTTTGATCTTGTCCTCGGACCTGCTCACGGGGATCCTCGAGGCCGACAAAAAGAAGCTGCTAGAAACCACGGGCAATAACATCAGAGTGTCAATTGATGCCAAGACGCAGAAGTCAGAATGGAATGGCGTCAAAAAGCTTCTGGCACATGGGGGTCGCAAACGCAAGGGGGGGGGGAGTGATGACGTTTTGCCCCTCATGGAAGACCCCCGCACTGACCTGGAGGTTCCTACACCCCCCAGTTTTGTTATCACCCATCCTGGCTATCTCATGTTGAGTGTAGTAGAAGTCACATGCTTCAAGTACAACAGGTGGGCCATCCCCGAGGAAGGACTTGTCCTCAGTGATCCCCGAGTTTCAGGCCTTTCGATCCCTGCTCTGATTGCCAGCCACAACTTCATGCGATATGACTCCTATCTCGCATCGGACGACAGGGCACCGAGCGGCGACAGCTTCGAGGATAATTTGAGATGGCATGGTCTCATCTTCTGTGCGGGAACCCTGCGCCCGGGACAAACACTCCCCCCCCCCCCATTCCACAGCCTGCGGTACTTCAGACCCAAAGTGAAGTGGTCCAACATGTTCAGGATACCTTCAGTAGAGTTGAGAATGGACAGGAGCGTGATTTCTCGAGTTTGACCACCCGTTTTAACGATGCGTCGGTCCCGTTGGATCCCAAGATTATGAGAATGTGTTTGCCCCCCCTCCCCTCTTGATCTGGAATATCATATTAAAGGATTCAAAAGGGGGAGGCGACCTGGGCCAGATGGGGTGGTTCAGGATTTGTTCACGGCCGCCCCACAGGAGATGGCTGCACTGGTTTGCCCCCTCACGTGTAAAATTGTCATCGGCGTACAAGAACCCTTGGGCTGTAAGTTCGGTGATGTTGCCTCTTTCTTCAAAGGGAGTGAAGTGTCGAAATGGGCCACAGCACAGAGACACATCCTGATGGCCAACACCCTGGTGAAGCTTTTTTCATAAACATGTTCGGACCCTGGCCTGGGATTTTTTCGGCGCCAGCCTACTCTCTGAGCAGTGCGGAGGAGTGCCTGGAAAGGGCACTGGCATGATTCCCCACGGCCTCAGGATGTTTATGTATGCTGCCCAACAACAGAAGGTATCCACAGCCGTTGGCAATCTTGATTTCAAGAATGCCTTTCTATGCCACCATCTAGGAGATGGCGGTAAAAACTCCATCAGTAAACTGATGAAACATAGCGTTCCAATCGCTAGGAAATCGATCACGAATGCCTTGTTGTGATCATACAAACAGCGGGTCGGACGGGGACACTGGGGTGATCCACTCCTTCACTTTGAATTTTATCCTTAAGGGCTTCGCCCCCTGCCGCCTGCCCCCTCGCTCGGAGAATGGGCCATGGAAGAGCTAAGTCATGAGGCCTTGGCGCTGTCGTGAAGCAGTATCGAAACTTCATGCGAAGCCGATTCGCAATCAGCAAAACCAACTGATCACAAGAGGGGTTACCACACCTGGCGATTGGTAAGACGTGTATGGTTTACGGGCTTGGTTACCACACCTTGCGATTAAAGGGCCGAGGGAGTTCTCGCAGTTTGGGTTACCACGCCTTGCGATGGATGTGCGTGAAGGGTGGCACCGAATTTCAGAAATGTGCCAAATCCCCTGTGTTTTTGGA